TGTTTGTTTTGGTGATTTCAAATGTCAACATTGGCTACCAGAAATCGCTCACCCCACCTTTAATGCTCATTGGTTCAGACAACGTGATGCTGCTGTTCTCTTCTAAAATATTTTATTTCTTCATCTGGTTTCATGTGATTTAAGTATTTAAATTATGCATGAATATTCCCAAACACTATGACAGTGCGATCTCTGTGTGAGATATGTGATTGTTGTCATATTTCTATAAAAATCTAAAATACATGTTTGTATTAAAATAAAAATGAATGATAAATACGCGTTTCGTATGGAATTAAATAGCAAGCACTTTGAGTGTCTTGTTCATTATATTTATTTTTATATAAAGGCAACAGAACTGAAATGATATCATGTTAGTCAGCAGCACAGCACATGAGTGAGAATAACGCGATATCTGTCTTTGATCTCATTGGTATCTGTTCACTTTGAGAGGTCAGAACTGTCCGCCTTGACTGCTCTTATTTCACTCCTCCCCTCACTGCAGTCGCCTACTCTCGCCTTCATTTCAGGCGAGGCGAGGCGCATCTCAAACAAGCCTAACGATGCTTGAGAGAGTTGCGAGTGAGAGCAAGTATAGGTCTCTGCAGGAAAGTAAGGGGAGTTACCAGATCGGGGCGTTTTTAGACCATGTTTCCTGATTGGCTGACGTCATAGTGACTGTAGGTTTAGGGGTGAGGTTAGGCAAGGGGGATCATTTTGATTGCATGATTGAGAAACACCCTACAGTTTGAAAACACCCACAAACTCTGAAACGCCCACTTTTGCTCTGCAGAGACCTCAATCTCAATGAGAGCACGGACGCAGCCTCCGGCGTGTTGCCAGATCCAGCTACTATAATCTTCTTCGTCTTGTCTTTTCCTCTTAATTTGACACTTTCAAAGATAGCGGTATCTTTATCTTGTCTTATTTACAAAAGATTCGAACAAAGTTTGGTTTATTTGATTTATTTTTCGGTTTTTACTTGTTTTCATAGCAATATCTGGCAACACTGCATCCCTGGCACAAAACTGACAGTAATCAAAAAAGGCCACGGACAGGTTATTACTGACAGGATTCCACATTCGGTAAGGCAAAAATAAATAAATAAATAAAAATCATATTATCTGAACGAAACGTAGCAGTAAAACAGTAACAAAAGAGGAAAAAAAGCAGTAGCATTTAACACTAGTACAGAGATCTGTAGAACAAGTACAGAATGAAATGAAATATGCAAACACTGGCCATGAATAAGTCTATGCTATTCCACTCAGTACAGAAGTTAAACTTTCACAAAGTCATGCTAAAAACATTCATATGAGCTCTAGACAAAGTAATCATCTAAACAGCAATGCGTATTAATGAAAACTACTACTTAGTAATAAGTAGTGAAAAAAATTATCCACCCGATATATAGTAAAATATTAACAAATTCCCATGCAATAAATCTAGTCTAATTTAACAATGTCCATCCCCTCAAAACAGAGGAAACATCTTTCACAAACATCAACATATCTGTCTCTTTTAAAGTTTATAGTTTATGAGTTTATTTGTTATAATAGCACAATTATTATCCCCACCCCCGCTGATAGCACACATACATCTCGGAGACGTCTATTTAACGTCTGCATTTACATCTGCAAGACGTATTTTTTAGAGTGTTTGC